TATAAAATTATAAGAAATATGAATATATCTATATCTATTTCTATAAGCATTGAGATATTAGCATAATCCCGTTGCATTTACAAGAAATCTTCAATTAACGATTGAATTGATTACGCAATTGGCTAACCGAATGCAACACTTGCTATTGCACGTGCCCCCCTTCCTCCGCTTCCCCCCTTGCAGTTGCATGGATTGCGGTAGGGCGGCTGTGCGTCCACGCTGACAGTTAATTGGCCGTATTTTCTTGAGATATATGGACAGACGTTGACTAAATGAGCGTCGCACACGCAAATTATAAATACTTAGCAGGCACAAAGTAAGAAAATGCCAAACACAAACTCAAGAGAGTGAGAGAGAGAGAGAGAGAGAGAGAGTGGGCAGCGACAGACCCCAGCAAAGGTCGCCAGGCACTAAAGTATCTGTATCTAAATTCGTGACTCTGTCTCGTGATGGGCACTTAAGCCAACAAACCAGATTAAACTGCTGCCATTTAAGAAAGCCAGATTCTTATTTTAGTGGGCAGCCGATGCGATCTTTCACTGCACTAAAAAATATGGCAAAGCTTAAATTAATAAATAAAATTTAGTATATCCTAACATTAGCTGTCTACTCTGGCCACACTATTTCGAGCCAAGCTTTCCATTGTGAACTGCCGTTATGCACACATTGTACTTGCACACTCTAACTATTTCCATTTCCATTTTCCACTTCCATTTGCATTTTCATTTCGATTGCAATTATAGATCGGCTTGTTGGCATTTGAATCAAACCCGTTTTTGGTGCATGCTGCAAATGGAAACTGCGCGTCTAAAAATAGCTGGGCTTAGCTCAAAGATTACCCAAGTGCCGATCGCATATTATTATACCCTAGCCCAGTGTGCATGCGCAGAAAGGGTATAATAGTTCCTCCTGTTTTAGGAACTGGCCAGACTTGAATTTATAAACTAGCTCTTGCCAGTGCACGAAAAGATCAACTTTATTGCAAAACATCGATTAATCGCCTCGTTTCTATGACATCGATAAGTATCGATATATATCGAAAGTGCATTCTTAAAGCTAGAGCTTTGATTATTTGATAACGGACGTCTAGTATTTTAACAACAACAGCGTATCTTCTAATCGGGCATACCCGAATCGAGCACTCTTAGTTGTTTTTCAAATGTGGTTTACAGATCTGATTCGCACTCACCATTTTGTAAGCCTTTGACTGGGTTTATTTTTCTTTTAACTGACTGCTGTCTGTGGCCAAAACTCCGCCGGGTTCTGCAAACTGTGCCAAAATGTTTGCGAAACTTCTGGCCCAGCCGCTTATATAGTCCCCTTTACAAGCCAACAGTGGTGTTGGAGGGGAGGGGGTGGGGAGTGGTTGTTGCGGTCTTCTTTTTGCATAAAACGCGGCTGCTGAAGCTGATTACAAAGCGCCCTCAAGACAACTGTATAAATTAGATACATCTCTCTGTCTCTCTGTGTGTGTGCGTGTGTGTGTGTGTGTGTGTGTGCGTCTGTCATATGATTATGATTATGACTATGATTACGGTTATGTGGCACGTTGATTAGAATGCGCGCTTATCACTTGTTGCCGCTGTGTTTTAATGCTCATGGCAACTATTTTGTTCTTCTTCATCTCAATGCAATTGGCCGGACGATGACAGCTTCAGGCACAAAGGATGTCATTAGTTCAATAGCGTCAGCAAGGACGATTCATTATGCACATCGATATGCGCTTATTGAAAGGCGCGTAGGATGTGCCATCGATAGCCTTTCACTTTCCAAGCAGCGGGTTATCCGACAGAGATGCTCAGCTTAGCGGGAAACAAGCTAAATCAGCCAGCTGTAACTGTAACTAGCTGCTAAAGGATAGATAAACTCAATTTTGGCACTGATCCGGCAGTTGAAGTTGATTAACAATTTTTAATAATCGACTTTATTACTTAATTTGTAATTATTATACCCTGAACCCATTAAAAATGGGTATAAGGGTATATTGTAAAAAAAAGTTATATGCAACTGCGCAATTGAATACAGCAGCATCTTTAAGAATTTCTGTACCAAAATCGACAAAATGGCAAGGGGTTACATCACGTTTTTTTTTCAAAATCGAGGTCGGTGCGAAAATCGAAAGAAGATATGACGTTCCAAAACGACATAACTCCGCGCGGAGATATGACGTTCCAAAACGACATAACTCCGCGCGGAGATATGACGTTACAAAACGACATAATTCCGCGCGGAGATATGACGTTCCAAAACGACATAGCTCCGCGCGGAGATAAGACGTTCCAAAACGACATAACTCCGCGCGGAGATATGACTTTCCAAAACGACATAACTTAGCGCGGAGATAAGACGTTCCAAAACGACATAACTCCGCGCGGAGATATGACGTTCCAAAACGACATAACTTCGCGCGGAGATATGACGTTCCAAAACGACATAACTTCGCGTGGAGATATGACGTTCCAAAACGACATAACTCCGCGAGGAGATATGACTTTCCAAAACGACATAACTCCGCGCGGAGATATGACGTTACAAAACGACATAACTCCGCGAAGAGATATGACTTTCCAAAACGACATAACTCCGCGCGGAGATATGACGTTCCAAAACGACATAATTCCGCGCGGAGATATGACGTTCCAAAACGACATAACTCCGCGCGGAGATATGACGTTCCAAAACGACATAACTCCGCGCGGAGATATGACGTTACAAAACGACATAATTCCGCGCGGAGATATGACGTTCCAAAACGACATAGCTCCGCGCGGAGATAAGACGTTCCAAAACGACATAACTCCGCGCGGAGATATGACTTTCCAAAACGACATAACTTAGCGCGGAGATAAGACGTTCCAAAACGACATAACTCCGCGCGGAGATATGACGTTCCAAAACGACATAACTCCGCGAAGAGATATGACTTTCCAAAACGACATAACTCCGCGCGGAGATATGACGTTCCAAAACGACATAATTCCGCGCGGAAATATGACGTTCCAAAACGACATAACTTCGCGCGGAGATATGACGTTCCAAAACGACATAACTCCGCGCGGAGATATGACGTTCCAAAACGACATAACTCCGCGAAGAGATATGACTTTCCAAAACGACATAACTTCGCGCGGAGATATGACGTTCCAAACCGACATAACTCCGCGCGGAGATATGACGTTCCAAAACGACATAACTCCGCGCGGAGATATGACGTTCCAAAACGACATAACTCCGCGCGAGAAATGAGATGTGACCTTCCAAATCATCACGTTTTTTTCAAAATCGAGGTTCCAAATCATAATTTCGGGTAAATAATGTCTGATTGTCAAATGTTATACCTTTTTGAATGCGTACGGATCCCTACCGTCAATTGGCATTCAATCAAATTAAACATCGTTTTATTAAAAGAAATGTAGACAAAAAACCGATTCGTTCGTAAATTCCATCTTTTTGATGATGTTTTGGAATATTTCCGTCAAATAATGTCCGATTTTGGAATTTTATACCATTTTTGACTTGTAAGGATCAGTTCTATCGATTGGCATGAAAAAAAAGGAAATCCAAAAATTTGACACAAATCGGCAAAATGGCAAAACAGAGGTCGGTGAGAAAATTTAAACTTTTTCGAGGTTTTTTTTTTAATATCTCGGGTAATAGCTCCGCGAGGAGATATGACTTTCCAAAACGACATAACTCCGCGCGGAGATATGACGTTCCAAAACGACATAACTCCGCGCGGAGATATGACGTTCCAAAACGACATAACTCCGCGAGGAGATATGACGTTCCAAAACGACATAACTCCGCGCGGAGATAAGACGTTCCAAAACGACATAACTCCACGCGAGATATGACGGTTGAAAAATGTTGTTGACAAAAAACCGATTCGTTCGTAAATTCCATCTTTTTGATGATCTTATGGAATATTTCCGTCAAATAATGTCCGATTTTGGAATTATATACCATTTTTGACTCGTAGGGATCAGTTTTATCGATTGGCATCAAAAAAGGAAATCCAAATTTTTGACCCAAATCGACAAAATAGCAAGGGGTAACATCACTTTTTTTTTCAAATCGAGGTCGGTGCGAAAATCGAAAGAAGATATGACGTTCCAAAACGACATAACTTCACCACATAGCTCCTCCGAGATATGACGGTTGAAAAATGTTGTTGACAAAAAACCTATTCGTTCGTAAATTCCATCTTTTTGATGATCTTTTGGAATATTTCCGTCAAATGTCCGATTTTGGAATTTTATACCATTTTTGACTCGTTGAAAAATGTTGTTGACAAAAAACCGATTAGCGAAAAATATGTCGTTTTGGAACGTCATAACTCCGCGCGGAGATATGACGTTCCAAAACGACATAACTCCACGCGAAATATAACCTTCCAGGTCAGGTCAGGTCAGGTTTATTTTCAAAATCCAGGTTCCGTTGAAAAATGTTATTGACAAAAAACCGATTCGGCATCAAAAAAAGGAAATCCAAATTTTTGACCCAAATCGACAAAATAGCAAGGGGTAACATCACTTTTTTTTCAAAATCGAGGTCGGTGCGAAAATCTAAAGAAGATATGACGTTCCAAAACGACATAACTCCGCGAGGAGATATGAAGTTCCAAAACGACATAACTCCGCGAGGAGATATGACGTTCCAAAACGACATAACTCCGCGAGGAGATATTACTTTCGGAATGATCACGTTATAACTCGTGCGGAACATATATATTTTAGATGTAGGTGCCTGCGCGGATCGAGTTTGTTTCCGATAATCGATAACTTACTCCGTTTCCAAGCAATCGATTAAAATCGATATCGATATCCTGTTTTTTGGGCAATTTTGGTAAATAATAAGAGCTAGAGTCACGAAACATGATATGTTGCTTCTAAAATAGAAATATATATATGCATTTGATGTTGTAAGAAGAGGGACAAGGGTATCCCCTAGTCGGGAGCTCCCGACTAGAACCTCTTGATTTTATTTCATTTAATTTTTTATTTTTAATTATTAATGTTCCTATGATAACATAAATACGTTTAGCGCATTATAGATCGTCTTATTCTAGTTAAACTTATTAGCTGCAACTAAAATTTGCCAAAAAACTTATTTTTGCCATGATGCCCATGCCCATGCCCATGACCGTGTCCATGACCATGCCCACCGCCGCCGCCCACAATAACGGGCTTGACCACAACAATGGGCTTCACAACGACGGGCTTGACAAACGTCGGCTTTGACTTGACAAATTTCGCGGACAGTTCGCCGAAAAGCTGGTCGGGATTCGGCAAATAGCTGGGCTTCTGCAAAGCGAAGGCGCCGCCTTTGAACTTGTCGTGTGTGGGCGTGGCCAGGGCAGCGGCCACAATGGCCAGAAGCAGCAGATAACACTTGAGCAGCTCCATGGCTAGAGTGCGGCACTTAATCCCGCCGCCGGACTATTTATGGTGAGCCACGCGCAGCAAGAAAAGCCTCATTGGCATGCAGGAATCGTCGCGGTTTTTCGCGCACTTTTATTCAAATTCATTCTTAACGCTCGCAACTTCTAAAGCACGGAGAATCACATGGTTGTTGGTGGCTGTTGCTGCTGCTGCTGCTGCTGCTGAGAATTCCCCCAGTTGTAAGTTGAATTAACAATTATGTCGCGATACTGCGTAACATTATTCAATGATCGCTGCCGGGCCACATTCAGTTGTCATTCAGTCGGCGATTCTCTAGACTCGCGAGCAGAGAAATGACGTCGTCTTTGGCTGAGAGCACTTGACTCGCATTTCGAATGATTTCAATTCATATCTCATGGCGATTGCGGAAGTCGAAATGCATTTTCAACATATTTTCATGCGAATGTTTTATAAATAAATTTAAATTCCAGGCTTACATTTTGTAATTAACGCTTAAATACCATGCCCAATATTTTTTTAAACTAAATAATTGTGAGCATTTACAACACTGGCTGGAACGAACCGTTGCGAAATGAAACGCGCTGGCGTATGTATGTCTATGTTTGCATGTATGTATGTATTTGTGTGTAAATCACATTTTAGTTGTTCTTGCCTTGGCTTATTTCCTGAAAACGCTTTCGCTCGAGTTCGCGAAAAACGCGCCGCGAGGCCGGCGGCGCACCGACTATGCTGCGTATTACGAGATTCTGCTCACAGTAGGCTCTCGGATCGTAGGTTGCCACCGGTGGCTCATCATCCCAGTTCTCGGAGGACTCCACCAAGGGGACGGGCGAGGCGAGTGGCTCTTTGGGCGGCAGCACATCGGGATTTTGAAATCTCTCAAAGTCAATTCGGCTCGAACAGTTCTTAATATGCGACTATCGTACAAAATGGTAATACTTTTTCAAAATATTTTGTTGTGGCAAACGGTGCTACCTTCACTTACGTTCATGTCGGAGCTGTGCACCACATGGGTGGTATTGAAGGGGCAGCGTATCATATTGCTGCCGGGATGGTTGCGAGCGCATCTGGTCAAGTGCCAGGATAAACGGCTGCGCAGTATGCGATGCCCGGCGTCATAAGGACACTTTATATATGTGTCCACGGGTGGCTTCAACTCGACAGCTATTTGGGCGGTGGGCGACGAGGGGGAGCTCGATTCTTTGGGATCGTTGCGTTCAGTGGACATTTTTGGCGCTATAAATTCCTAGTTTTTAACTAGCTGAAATGCCTGTGAAATTGTTTACTACATTTTAATGTTTATGCATATCATAAAATACTTACAATTATTTAATAATCAGCCAAGCTTGTGCTGCGATACGCTTGACAGTCCGGCTAACATATAGTTAAAATGTTAATAACAGCAAACCGCGGCGCGCTGTTAAAAGAAATTGCCGTTAACTCTTTCTGTTAAGTGAGCAAAATTGAAGGCGTATTTTTTGTATATGAATTTAAGGATCAATACAATAATAATCAATACAAATACAAAACTGAAAAGGTTTTGATGGAAGTTATATTCCAGTTTTAGGAGGAGCTCTTTACACTCTGACGATAGAGAAACGAAATGGCCTTAATCTTATTAAATCGTAGGTACAACAGCTGAGACAAAGCTTATGATTTATAAATCAAGGCTTATGTTGTTTTAACCTTAATAATTTAAACAATGTTATATTTCCTAAAACGCAACTTGGCAGAAGAGAGAATATTCTTAATATATAGACAATGCAGGCTAGAAATGTGAGCAATATTGAATTTGGCATCAAACATCAATTGAAGCGAATATATACTTAAGCTATATATTTAAGATAATTTTCATTAAATAATAATTGTTATTATTAAAAACAAAATTAGGGACTTTGCAACGTGTAACTCGTCGCGTTTGAATTTTCGCTAAGGCGGGGACTCGTTACTCGTTACTTGGCACTCGTTTTGCAATGTAACGAGTACTTAAGAGTCGCCCTGGAACTATTAACCAGTGTTCATGAACGGAAAAATAATAGTTTTTTTTTTGCTGTTTATTTATTTAAAAGAGAAATGGACAATAGCGTTATAGAAATTAACGATTCTATCATAACAATTGACAGCGATGCCGACGTAGAAGACGGAGAAGTGAGGGAAGTCGAAGAAAATGCCGTAAACATTGCCGCCAAAGAACAACCGCCCCCGTCCCCCGGTGTAGAGGGAACGAACGACCAAGTACAGTATCGAGAAAAACAATAAAATATTCATTTTCTATTAAAGTGAATTATAACCAAGCAGAAATCAATTACACCGGAAGGCCTGATATTCGAGGTGAACTTTACGCAAAAGGATGACTTCGAGAGGCTGCAAGAGCGCCTGGTCAAGGCGCTAAGCGCAACATTTGCCGGCGAGGAATTTGTGTACACAACAAAGGACACGAGCATAAGCGTACATCGGAGAGCGATAAGCCCCGAACCGGAATGCGATATATTTCAAATAGACACTTCGCCGGCGACAAAGCTAAATGCAGCCCAAGTGCCGTCCTACAAGCGCTGTCACACCGAGGTGCTGGACGAGGGCACGTTGGCGCGCAAGAAACTGAAGCTCGAGGCGGTTAACAAGTGCTTCCGGCCCAAGGTGCAGTCCGCGTGCTTCAATTGCGGCGGCGTTGAGCATTCGCTGCGTGAGTGCACGCGGCCGCGCAACCAGGCGCGGATACAGCGCGCCCGCAAGAAGAACAGCCGGGCGGAACGCTACCATGTGGACACGGAGCAGCGTTTCGCACACATACGACCCGGCCGCATAAGCAGTAAAACGCGTCATGCCATGGGCTACAGTCGGGGCGAGTTGCCGTTCATGTTTTACCGGATGCGTGTCCTGGGCTATCCACCAGCCTGGCTCGAGGAGGCCAAGGTGCAAAGCTCGGGCATAGCGCTGTTCAATGCGGATGTGAGTATGGGATATATCTAATCTACCATTTGGCTTAGGCTTAACATTGTTACAATTTCAGGGCAGCGAGGTGCAGGGGCCGGAGGAAGAGATGGGCGAAACGGACAGCTTCAAATATGATGTCAATAAAATAATCGACTTTCCCGGCTTTAACGCGCAGCCGGGTTCCAAGTTCTACGATGTAAATATCTGGCATGTGCCACAGCAAGCAAATAACAGTAAAACTAATCATGAAATCTTCAGGACTTTCAACATCACAATGTGCCACCTTTTCAGGAGCACCAGCTAAAGGAGAACTTCATCAAATCGCTAGGCGGAAAACGTGACCAAGGCCTATAAGCGTAAGAAATTGGTGGACTTGCCCACGCCACATGATGCTAGTCCCACGTTGCTGGAAAGCGACACAAATCTGGTTGAGCACGACATGGAGCTGGACGATGATGAGACGGAGGGGCTGGCTATGCAGCCACCTTTGCCCGCAGAGCCAAGCAAAGCGACGACGCCGCCACCGCCACCAGCGCAAGATACGAGCATACGCAGTCCATCGCCCACACTGGAGGATCTGAAGGCGCAGCAGGACCAATTGCTCGAGCAGCTCGAATCGAATACTTCATTCAACACAAGTGAAGTCGAGCTGCCGCATGTGCCTCAAACAGAAGAAAAGGAAACGGCGGCGCCTGCTACTCCCGTCGAATCCAGTCAGCCCAACATCTTTAAGGCGCCATCCATAGCTGGCACGCCGATATTGAAATTTTCCGTCTATGACAAGCTGCCGTGGGCGATAACTTTAAGGTGGGCGTCAGCGATGTGATTAACTTTGAGAATCTGCCCGATTCCACGGGCAAATACGAGCAAATGAAGGATCTGCTGAAGAACGTGCGCCAAAAGATGGAGAAGCTGCAAAACGAGGACAATTGAGCCGGAACGAGCTTATTATTTGTAAATACATAAACCGGACATGGCTTTTAATTAGCGACAAGTGCAGAGATTGGTTTTTGATTTGCCAATTTTAATGCTAAATTGCGCATATACAAAATCATGCCAATATACATTAAAAAATATATATGTGCATGTAGTATGTGATTAAGTTTGTACAAAAAATGATATTGATTAAACAAGAGTTGGTATCAATTGAGCTAATAATTTATGGCCGAAACGCACACACGCACACACACGCACGTACATTGATCAGCTTTTCGTTTTGCTTTTGCTTTCATTGCATTAATTTATTTTTGTCTTCCAATATAAATATATATATATATATATTGTGGCAAGTTTAGCCTATACATACATACATATATGTACATATATAAATATTTATATATATAACCGTTTGTGTATGTAGCTATAACCAAAGGAAAATGCAAGCTCTAATCATGTCCAGCGGCAGCTCAATTGATCGCCGGAGGTGGCTGCGGCGGTGGCGCACCATCCGGATTGTTATCACGTCGACTGGGCTTATTGTTGGAGAAACTGGCGCCAAACGCTCGGATTCACCACATACATAAACATGGCCAGCAGCATGAATACCATGGCTATGGTGAAGCTTCCGCCGGTGTCGCCGCCGCCAATCGCCGGCTGAGCTACGCGTCCGCTGACTGAAGATCCGGAGAGTTAATCATCAACATGTTTAATCGCCAAACGGAAAATTCCACTTACCATCAATGCACTCGGTATCTGTGCAGGCATTCTGATTTTGGCGTATCTATCAGTACAAATATTATATAGATATAGATATATATATATATATATACATTAGATTTGTGGCTCAACTTACAAAGTTGAGGAGCCTTTGCATGGCCAACTCATGGGACCAAATGCATTCGCAGCCATCGAATTCGTCAGCCATGTTGGGAGCTCCTGTTTTATTTTCTGGTTATTTGTAACTGGCGATGCAAATAGTCTAAAAAATATTATATATATGTATAAAAAAAAACAAAAATAAAGTGCTCTATGCTTATGTATATATTTGAAAAATATATGAACAACAGTGACTATTATTGGCAATTTTGACTGACGTGGCGTTATAAATTGACGTAGAGCGTACGAAACACGACTGGTAAATATCAAAATGTGAGTAAAACTGTTTTCTAACTGAAAATGTGCTCAACTGAAACGAATTTTGTTTTCTTTCTTTTCATCGCTTTTTTTTTTTTTTTTTTGCCAGCGAAACAAAACGCTGGAAATGATTAGAACTTGAACGTAAACTCTACGCAGTGCAGATAGAAGACTGATAATAACTGTATTTATAATTGCTACATACAGTCGGTGATACAGTGAAGACTTTGCTAAAGGACACACTTTCTTGAGAAACGAAAATGGTTTTTGAGTATTTTATATGTTTTACATTGCGCGCGAAAATAAACCGTTTTCAAGACATACGTCATTTACAATTTAACCGTTATCAATGTGTGTTCACTTTAGCGAGTTGCCACTTGGTGCCTGATAAAGTCGACGAGAGAGCCGCAGCTTATACGCCACAATTTTAAATAGCTTAACAATTTTCAAGCATCGCCCATGTGTGTGCGTGTGTGTGTGTGTGACATACATATATGTTTGAGTTTGTGTATGCTTGTGTTAGTATGCCGCAAGAGTAGAAGTGGAATTGTTCTGACGAAGCTTTACTTCCAATACACACGACCGACCTTGATAGAACGCCTACAAAATAGATTACAAATATGAGCACTTAATTTAAAATTTAGTTGATATACTAAGAAAAACCACTAATTGATTACACGTACATACGTTTGTTTGTTTGTTTGTGTAACAAGTGCAGTTGATTCGACTTGTGAGCAGCTTTCACACACACACACACACATATGCATGTACATATATGCAACTGCTGGCATCTACATATGTACGTAATTACAAACGCGAGACCAATTAAATGTTACGCCAAATCACATACATATATATATATATATATGTACATATTGATATTATTCACATTCATATACATATATACATATGCGTGATGGCAGTTTGGAAAATTGCAAACATGAAGTCACTTTCATATTTGATTGTTTTGCTTTTTATATTTGGGTCCCTTCCAATGGAAATTATGCAGCGGACGTAAACAAAGTGCATGAGCTATGTTTTTATGATGCCTGCCACAGCTAAAATTACGTACATTTTGCTTAGTTGTACAGCTATTACTTATATTATAGTTTTGATTGTTAATTTACATTTGTTTTTTTATGTTTAACGCTCTGTTTATTATTTTAGATTAGACTATTTATTTTCTTACCAATTGGAAATGGAATGAGCGACTGGAACACACATATGGTAGTGTTGGTTAACGTCTGCCACTGAAATGCACTAAAAAATGTCACTGCCAGCACTGCAACATTGGTGTATATGTATTTTTTGTACCGCACTTTTATTTGTTTTTTAAATATCATGGTTTGATTTATTCCGTATGCGACTCAAGCCGAGTCGTCGGGTTTTAGTTGTAGGCGCATAGATGGGTGACAGCGCCTCTTCACTCTTACGCTTACCCACACGTTCCCTGTGCACGCGTGGCGATTCCTGCGAGCAGCTCCGATCGCGCATTACGCGCTGTGATTCCCCCTCCACATTGTCCTTGCGACTGGGCATGGGCGTGCTTGTTGACGCTGCCATTGGAGCAAATCGTCTAATCGGCGTGCGGCCAGCATCCGCACTGCAGTTATCTGCATCCCGCTTCTGTTTTCGTCGCTTATTCAGGGACAACAGATTCCGGCGCGTAATTATCGAGCTCTTTGTCGCTTTGTCCAGGGGCGAACGCTCCGAGAGCTGTGTCAGCGAGGACTGCAGCTCTGGCGTGCATTTGGGCGTCTCGAATGGCACATTCAAGGTTTCCGAGTTCTTCTGTGTGACTAGCTGCGGCTGCTGTGGCGTTGCTGTTATCTGACCCATCCTGGTTTCAGGCTCCAATGGCACGATTCCATCGAAAAATTCACATGTTGGCTCAGGAATTCGTTTTTCTGATTCTATATCCTCTGCTGTGATAAGTTTTCTAGACTTGTCAACAGATTCTGAGATGTTTCCCGACGCACACTTCTTAAGCTTAATCTTAGCCAAGTGCTCCTTTTCCTCCTCCTGTTGACCAAATTCCAAATCGGCCATCAACATTGCTGCTCTTTGCCGCATCTCGTCCGTCAATTTCACGATCTTATTGGATGCAGTGCGAAATTCGATATTTTGATTCGCTTCTGAACCGTCAATTGCACTTCTCTGAACTTTATCCAACTGCTCCTTTGTTGTCTCTTGGGAACTTAAATTTCCGGTTTCCAAATCAGCCATCAACATTGCTGCCCTTTGCCGCATCTCGTCCGTTAACTTCACGATCTTATTGGATGCAGTGCGAAATTCGACTTCAGAATCAAGATTTCTATCACTTCTATCTGCTCCCATTTGCTGGGAGTAGCTGGCTTCTATGTCGGCCATCAGCTTGGCAGCTTGTTTCTGTTGCTCCTCAGAAACTTCGATTGCCTTGTTTGAAGCAGTGCGAAATTGAACGGCATCCGGAATATCCATAGGCTGCCATTCACTGAATGGTATCATATCCAACTGGCTACAAACGTAGCTCTCGGCAGGTGTCTGGTTGCTGTCTGGTATGTCCATGGGCTGCCATTCGCTTAAAGGAATCCCATCGAGCATTTCACAGTCCGTAGTTACTTCCTCTCTCTTTGAAGTGTTCATGTCCAATTCAGTTTTTGGAATTTGTTTTGGCGCTTTGAGGGTTTTATTTGGCGCTGAATGATAGCCGGGCATCCTATCCATTTGTAGCTCTTGCAACTCTGGTGGATTCCCAACAACTGTTTCCAAGTCAGCCATCAACATAGCTGCTTTTCTGCGCATCTCTTCGGTTATTTGCATGGTCTTGTTTGATGCAGTGCGGAATTGAATAGCAGCAGAGTCTCTGCCGTTAACGACCTCGCTTGGTTTCTGGATGTAGCTCGCTTCCAAATCAGCCATTAATTTGCCAGCTTCCTTTTGGTGCTGCTCAGAAACTTTTATTGGTTTGCTTGAAGCAGTTCGAAACTCAGTGACATCTGGTTGCCACTCGCTGAATGCAATCAATTCCGGCTGCTTGCAATCAGTTGCTTGCAATTGCTTCTGTTCCAAGGCAGAGTTTCTATTTGTACTTGCTTTCGATACTTTATTAGTTGAATGTGCAATGTCCATGGGCTGCCATTCACTGAAAGGAATTCCCTCCAGCAATTCAGTTTCCGTGGTCTCATTAGTTTGTGTTTTATCCAAAGGCACTTTTAGCTTTTGCGTAACGAAATCAGCTTTGAACCAATCCCCACACAAATTTGCCTCTATAAAATAGTAATATTATAACTATAGATATAAATGGAAACTATATAGCACACACCTTGAGATTGTCCAGCCTTAAGCGGAGTTTTCCTTGTCAGCAAGCGAGAACGCTCGCTAAACAGTGAAAACTCAGGTTCATCTGTAAAGAGGAGACATTATAGTTAAAGCAGCTGAGTAAATGATTAATAAGAGACTTGCCCGCTATTTTAATATCACAGTTTTCATCAAGCAATTTGCATTGCTCCGTGCTGCCGAGAAAGTAGCCCATATCCTCCACAACATCTGTTGCATCTTCTTGCTCGTAATCATTAGCTTCTATTGCTAGACAACTTTTGGGATCTATATCGGGCAAATCAATTGATTTGTTAACATTGTTTTGCGAGAAGAATGCACTCAAATTGAGAAGGTTTTCACAGATCTTCTGTGAGCTATTCACATCGAAGTTGCAGTGCGTCGTCGTCGGCACTTGGGTGGTATTATCCTCTTGCACAGATAGCTCCGAGGAGCAACTCAAGCGATCCTCATCATCAGCTGTGGTTGCTGCAATTGCTGTCGGGCGCTTGTGACCAAAGGTTTTAATTTTCTTGCCACGAAAACGAAACCACGGCGAATCATCATCTGTGGGCAGCTGCTCCTCCACATATGTGGGCGACGAACAGAAATCACGGAGTATTTCCACCACAATGCTGCTTGGTTTACTTAGCAGCTGTTCTGTTGCTTCTGGCTCTGGCAAGGCTTGCTCAATGAGCATATCCTGGCTCTCCAACATGGACTGCAGCGAGTGGAAGTTCTGTGAGGCAGGCACGGCACGTACCCGCAATGGCTCTTGTTGGGCACGCAGGCAGTCCAAGCGGTCGGCTTCAAAGAGCTGTTCTTCGTGCAGCTCCCAGGCACTCACTGAGTCCTGGCATGACTGAGTCCCACATGGCCATTGTGTTGCCGGCGCCCGCTTGGTCTGGCTGTCGTAGTTTTCTTGTACTGTACGAGTTTTTCTTCTAAGTAGGCGTTCGGAGCGCTTGGAACAACTGTGTCTTGACTTCGTTGGACTTGCATCTATGCTGTAGTCATCATCATCATCATCTTCCATGTTCAACAGACAAATCCATGCCCAAATTCTAGTTGCCGACGTGTTTGCCGCTCTGTTTATATAAAATCTACAGTTATCGATAAATATTGTTAGCGCTGTCGATTAAAATTAAAGTTGCCACCTGCTTAAACTATTGTTTACCAAAATATGTATCTTTTATATGAGGGATATCTTAGTTTAATTTTTTTTATTCAAATGTAATTTAAATGCAGTATTTAACACATTCTATTTAAAATTAAACAATTAATAAGCGTAATATGAAATTTGAAAATTAAAAAAGGATACCATTTTATATAAATAAAATACCAGTTTTGTTATTTTATCGCACATATGGCAACTATGGCTATAACTGTCAGCATTGTCCAGCACTGTTTGCCAGCCATATCGATAATATTTATTAGTTTGTCCGATTTCTTATTGCAATAAAGTCATTGTTTGCGTTAAGATCCTAGATAATGGGCATATCTACGGCGGTGCTGCGTACCCAGTTGATGGGCTTGACCAACTTCATTGGTACGCACAAGGACCAAGCGGACAAGTACCGCCAGCTGCTAAAGAGTGTCCTAGCAAAACACCGGCCCCGAATTGATCGATACACTGAAACTCTTTGTGGAGGCCATTGTCAACGAGCATGTTAGCCTAGTCATAGCTCGTCAGATACTGAACGATGTCGGCGTCGAGCTGAGCAAACTGCCCGACGACATGTCCAAGCAGCTGTCCCATTTCACACTGGAGAAGGTGCACCCACGCGTCATATCGTTTGAGGAGCAAGTGGCCGGCATCCGTTTCCATTTGGCCAATATATACGAGCGTAATCAACAGTGGCGCGATGCAGCCACCGTTTTGGTTGGCATTCCCCTCGAGACGGGCCAGAAACAATACTCCGTGGAATGCAAGTTGGGCACATACTTGAAAATAGCACGCCTCTATCTGGAGGACAATGATTCGGTTCAGGCCGAGCTGTTCATTAATCGTGCCTCGCTCCTCCAGGCAGAAACAAACTCCGAAGAATTGCAGGTAATATCCTTATTTAAACCAAGTTTTCACATATTCTTATCTGTTGTCCGGCCTGTAGGTTCTGTACAAAGTGTGCTATGCCCGCGTCCTCGACTACCGCCGCAAATTCATTGAGGCTGCCCAACGCTACAACGAACTGTCCTACCGCAAAATAGTGGACCAGGGCGAGCGGATGACAGCACTGAAGAAGGCGTTGATCTGCACGGTGCTCGCCTCGGCTGGGCAGCAGCGCTCCCGCATGCTGGCCACGCTCTTCAAGGATGAACGCTGCCAGCATTTGCCAGCCTATGGCATACTGGAGAAGATGTACTTGGAGCGCATTATACGTCGCTCGGAGCTGCAGGAGTTTGAGGCATTGCTGATGGACCATCAAAAGGCTGCCACACCGGATGGCTCTTCCATATTGGATCGCGCTGTCTTTGAGCATAATTTGTTGTCCGCCAGTAAATTGTACAATAACATAACATTCGAGGAACTCGGCGCCCTGTTGGACATACCCGCTGCCAAGGCGGAGAAGATCGCCTCGCAAATGATTACCGAGGGACGCATGAACGGGCACATTGACCAAATCTCGGGTATTGTGCACTTTGAGAATCGTGAACTGCTGCCCCAATGGGATCGTCAAATTCAATCGCTGTGCTATCAAGTTAATTCCATTATAGAGAAAATCGGCGTGGCCGAGCCGGATTGGCTAGATCAACAGAACTGAGCATGCGAGGCGGGCAGACTGCGTCATACAAAACTTTACTGAAATTCTCATCCTGATCTGGGAAAGTTCAATGTTTTACATTTAATTTTACACTTGCCGCCGCCGAGTTCCATGTGTAAATTTCATTTTGAATTTAAGAAATAAATGGCAAAAATGCATACAAAATGATTCCATGAATCAGTGCAAATACGAAACAATAGTAAAATATAAATTCAATTTATATGAAACATGTACATACACACATATTCACAATAGTATTTCTATTCGTATAATTCACAAAAAGTCTCTGTGTATATAAACAATTTTAAGTCTTAGACAACTAGCGGAAAGTTTTGCTTTTGTATACAATACAAATACAAAAACAATGTATATTATATATAAATATATATATATATACATATATATATATATTAATATATATAGAGTAGTGTATATATATGTCTTCCTTTTTCTTTTTTTTTTTTTTTTGATATCTGAGTAACTACCAAATTTAAATGAAGAGGGTTCCTCGTACTACCCACTGCCTACAATTCCAAAAAAAGAACAGACAACAGCAGAAGGTCTGCCAATGCCATTGAAGTTAACTAATTAGTATCTAGTATAATAGGCTAATTAAATTTACAAAAATTCAACTAAACAAAATGCAAATGGTACAAAAGCAAAGCTTTTTAACGATTCGCTGAAAGCATCCTAAGGGTAAACAACACTCTTCGATATTGTGCGTTGCACCAAACCAAATCCGAACACCAAATTTTTAAGAGACTCAATTCTCACATAACTTAATAGTTAACGTAGAGTCATCCTTGGGTATTCGCGGAGGACTCCTCGTTTAACTGCATTTGTGCCAACGTGCGCACCACAACACCGCGATTCACTGGCGTGAGGCCTTGGCAGAGGCCAACAACAGCGTCCAGCGCCACATCCGGACAGTCCTGTGACAGATAAAATACATATATATTAATACATAAACTATATATAATTGAGGATCTTTATGGCGAACCTCTAGCATTTTGGATATTGTGGAGATGATGGCATCCCGCCTCACAGAGCTGATATTTTTGGACACAATCGATTCGGCATTTGTTTGCTCCTGATACCAGGATACCATTTCCTCATTCTTGTCCCACAAATAGGCCTGTTAGAAATACACATACGTATTAAATTTGTATATGCAATGTCAGCTGAATAGGGATATCTACCTCGGTGGCGCCCTTATCCTCAACCAGCCAGCGACGGAGCATCTGCTTGGCTTGACCCACAGAGAGATTATCCTGCGCGCGCAGTATCTTCTTGATGTACGCATCCTCGAGCAGCAGCCGACGCAGTCGCCAGTAGAGCCAGCGACGTGATTCGCGCCAGGGCACAATTTCGCTGATGCACTCCTTCTCCAGCATACGCTCCGGCGTATCGTGCAGATCGGCAAAGTGCACGGCGACTGTGTGATAAACATGCATCAGCACCGCGATGCGCGCCTTGATCTTCTCATCCAGCTGCGCCGCCTTGACCTTATCACCAGCGGCCACCGCTTCGTCGTGCTCGCGCTTTAGCTATTGAGATTAATTAATGATAAGTAAATCTATCTATAAAAGAGTATATATATAGTCTGTTCGTACCCCAATTGTGGTGTGATCCAGGCGATGTATTGTCTTGACGAGATCCTTTTCTTTGTACTTGATCTCCACAATGCCCTCGGGCTCGAGCACACCGCCGCGCGCTTCTGGATCGGCATATGTTTCCATATAACGCGGATTGATGAGCGAATCGAGCACAGCCCAAGCGCCGCCACGCAGCTCAGCATTGGGTGGCAAATAGATGAGCACCGGCTTCTTGTACTCCCGCAGGCCATCGACAATGTATGCGCCAAATTTGACAATCTGTTCGTACATGTCCTTCATGCCGCCGGAGAAGCCTCGCCAGTTGGCGAACACAATCAATGGCAGCTCCTCGCGTCCGAAATCCTTGATAGCCTGTGCCGTCTTGTACGATGAATCCGGATACCATACCTGACCTGCCTGCTGCAGTGTCTTGGCTTCCGAATCCAAATTGGCCGGATCGGCGGGCATTTCCACCTCCACAGTGCGCGTCTCCACGGCTATAACGCCGACGGGCACACCACCCAAACGGGCGCGACCCGTGACCACGGTTTTAGCCCATGGCGCCATGATCTCGTTCCAAGAATCGCGATCGAAGAAACCATTTTCCCATTCATTGGCATTTACAGGATTCACACGACCGGCGAGCATCCAGCGCGGATCATAGGGTGATTTGGTGGGCATGAAATCGACAGGACGATCAATTTGATCGCTGGGCATAATGATGGGCAGATCACAGCCAATGTAGGCGGGAATGTAGGAGAGCCAGTCGAGTATTGTGTAGACGCCATCCAAATCGATGGCTTCCGTCTTGTGGGTGACGCCATTGTTGAACATGATCTGGACGCCACCAAGCTGGTTATTCGAGGCATAAACCTTGCGGCCGAGTAGCTGGAGACGAGATCTCGATTAATACAGGTTACAATATACGGCTAATTTTATACCCTACCTTGTTCAGAGCAGCATAACCTGTGAGAATAATATGCGAGTTGTCAATCTGTATGACACGTTGACCCAGACGCACCACATAGGAGCCAATGCCAATGGTGCGGCAGGTGACCATTGCAATGGTCACGATCTCCTCGTATGCCTGCGATGTCTCGCCGGCAATGAGGCCAGCGTAGCGCAGATTCTCAACGCCCAGACCGTCGTCTTTGCCAATGATATCGGTGATCTTGTAGCGTTGCTCGCCCTCATCCTCGATGAGTATGGCACGCACCGAATTCAGATTGGCCACCTTGGCGTAATCCTCTGTGGACAGGTATAGATATTTGAAGCCCTTGTCGGGCTCTTCGGGATCCTCCCAGGCTATTCTAAACATGGCTTTCACCTCCTCGGCAAGACCAATGCGCGCGCCGCTGTTAACGGAGATGTAGATCTGCGGACGGAGATTTAGTTATCAAGTTATGGAGCTCAGCTCAGGTGTCCAATGGAGCTACTTACACGAGGCACTTTGAGTTTGCGGGCCAGCTGGGATGCCTTGGCAAAGAGCACATCCTCCTTGATGCCAAAGGAGCCAATCAAATAGGTCAGATCGTTGGCAATCACTATAATCTCGCGACCAGCCGGATACTCGGGTGTGGCCAGCACAATACGCCAAGCAACCATGCCACACTGCAAGAGATGGACATTGGAAGGCGGTTAATAGATTCTAGATCTAAGGTAGGCAATCCCAGCTTCTAAATATACGCACATTATTTTCGCCCGGCAAAACGCTGCAGCTCGACCAGATTATCGTCCTCCAGCACCAGC